CTTCAGTCACTCCTAATGAGTACGTCACTTAATCCTGGAAATAAACCCCCAAGAAAGTAAATATAAGATGACTCAATCACAAACATAAAAATCATCAACTGTCCAATTGTAAACATTTTGAACACTTTTCTTCATTAGTTTTGTTCTACTTTGAATAATTCATCAATATACACAAGTAATAAACAAAAAATACATATTAAGAGGAAATTGAATTGTGAAAGCATTACAGTATACAAAATACAAGTATACAGGGTAAAGTATATAACTCGACAGAATGTTGTGGCATACTCGAAAAGCATAGTCGTTTCCTTCACAGCAACACAGGCAATCAGAAAGAAAAACTGGAATCAAACAGAACAGTGTCTGTAGAGACTTGAAACGGAATCCGACAAAATGTAACAGGTCTCTCTATGCGTGATATAACGCTGGACGGGGGATAAAGAAAGACGTTATTAGAATGGACTTTGGTCTGCTTACATACTGATAGTCAGAAATATATTCCTGTAATCTGTTAAATTACAGATTATTTAGTAGTATCTCGACACAAATAAGTTGTATAAAGCTGCAGCGAATGTGTTCGTTATCCATAATGAGAACGGAATACCTGCTTTCTTCTTGAAATATATCTTTTCCATCTACATAATAAGGAAACTTACATTATCCCCAGATCATTTTTCTCACTTAATGATTCTATACAGATCAGTTGTTTCACCATATGTAGTAACCTAACTTCCAATTTCTCGACTTTACTTCATCACACTGATAAACAGAGCCTACTGCATGCTTTCCTCGCGTCTCCGTCCAATGCTGGTAGTTGTACTTTAGATGCGCCGCGGTTACTCTCTGCCAACTATATCACCCTATGTCCCTAAATAATTCCTTTACACGATTGGTTAAGGCTATTATCAAGAAACCCCAAATCTAGCAGATCATTGACTCAAATTACAAATTAACAAGTTGTATTAATTTGTATAAATTAACATCGTAGTGTATATCTACTTACTTGTAACATGCTCTTCATTTCATTTGTTATCTCTATATCTTCTCCAAGTTTTTCCACGAAAGGAAACCTTTCCTTGAGCGAATGTCTCGACATTGTGTGAGAGCACGTCGCAAAAACTGTATCGTCGTCAATGCGTGGTCTACTCAACACACGTTCAGTGTACTCAGCCTACAAATCTCCAACCTACCGGCTTTATTCAGGCTTCTTATATACAAATAGACGTGGACAACATATAACAGTCATTGGAAAACTACCATATACTGAAACATGTGGATTTATAATAAAGGATGTATTCAAACTAGCCACTTTGATAAACAATTCAATTCGACGTGAAAATCGCAAATAAATATTAGTTTCTTTCGAGTAGGCACGTTTTCCTTGTACAACACACAAAGGCCAGGCGCTGCCTCCTTTCCGTCTTTGGGCGTAAAGGGGAATAAAGGCCGTGTTTTCAATGAATCAGGCGATCCTGTGGGTCAGTGGGTCTTTCTGTCGGATTATATTATAACGTTTCTAATTTATGTTTATATGGTTATACGGCTGTGCGTATCTAAGACCGCATTAAATGTAGGTATGACAAATGATACAGGGGTAATTGTTCATTTATCCTCGGGCATGGATTTCACTCAGACTAACCGAAATTACCTGTTAAATACAGACAGCATAAGCTAGCTGTGTCGCGCCATATTCAAGTCATGTACTGTGTCCTGAGCCAGTTTGTGTTTGTTGTTCACGCAGTGTCATTACATGTGGTTGGTAAGAGCACCCTGATATTGTAGACCATGTGGATTTCTTATGAATTTAAAGGAGCTCAGATACATTTTGTCGTATATGTGCATGATAGAATAACGTTATTTGAGTAAAGCGCGTGTCACGTTAAATGATACCACCATCCACCCATTTAAATTAGGGATAAGCTCACTCATTCCCTCGTTTTATAAGGCTTGTTCGCTCCTCACTCCTATCACTTCACTCACCCACTGTGCCAACGCAAATGTGCACTAAGCTGAGAATTCAATCAAACAATCCAAGTAGTAAACATTCAGAACAGATTATGTTATGAGACATACAGGTCGTACATTCTATAATGCCAGACATAATTAAACTGACGATGCCTGTTTTGAGATTATGCAAATTTCATGTTGTGGAGAAAATTGAATAAGCGTTAGAGTTAACTTGCCGTGGTAATTTTACAATGTGTTAAATGCTTCCATATAAAATATGTTCATACTATATTTATTAAGTTAGTCAAAGCTGGATATGTGAAGGTAGGTGTTGGCCCAATGTGCTGTCGCAGTTACAATACACCGGCGTTAAGGGAGCGGTGGAGTTATTGTCACCCATCAACAGAGGAAGAGTGCGAACTAAAGGCACATAAGACATTACTGATAGACAAATATGTGCTAGTATTCAGTATTCAGTAAACAGTTTTAGATATTTAGACCCGCGTGAGGCTGTATTTGACTTATTTTCTTCGACTCGAACAACAAATGTTTCTGTACAAAAGATTTATTATGTCTAAAAAATGCAAAGATATTAGTTTATTGAGATCATTATTTAGAATGCGTCTTGTTCTGAACAGTTGTGTTCCAGGTGGATTTCAACGGCTTCATACCAGTGACGTTACTTTCATTGCGCCTTCCATAATCTTATAACTATGTTCTATGGACAGCTTTTCCTTTTGTTAAAAGTGTCAGATGTTTGATTAACGAAATGAGTTATCGGAAAACGTATCTCATCTGGTATATTTCCAGTTAAATGAAATAACAAAAAACACTACTGGCTTCAGCTACTGCTCCTGCCATGACTAAAATGCATGACCAATTTGCTACCTGGAACAATGTAATATAAACATACGTTCTATACTTCCCTCTTACCTTCAGCGTTGGCAAACCTTTCCACATTACTGGAAAGATGACTTATTCTAATCCCACCAACACCTTGTCTACACTATCTGTTGTGCGTCTACATGAATTTGCTCTGCACTATGTCAACAGAAGACAGGGATGGGGGATGAAGAATCGTGTAGTAACACTGGACTCTGAAACTTTGTCATCGAAAAGTAGAGCAACATGTCATCAGATGCTTCTGTCGATAAGACAAGCAATCAAAGCAAACATCACCCTTCTTTCTAAACGATTCCAGATTCGTGGCACGGGATAGGTCTATGCGACGCCACAGACCTTAGCAATATCGGAAGGGTTAAGGTAAGAGGAATCCGTCCTATCCTATCTCCCTAGCATGAGGAGGTTAAATGATGGGTTGAAACTAGGAAATACCACTCATATGACGGTGGCTAAGGTGATAATATTTCTCTCCGACATCTTTAAATGTTGAAGTCTTATGACTGGTCATGCTTAATTCAAAACAAATACAAAATAAACACATTACAATAAACATAAATGTGCTCACCTACCTTAATAGGGAACCGTGTAAGGCAACATCGTCATAATGCAGTGACTCTCTTTCCGGTACTAGAATGCCAAGCCTTATTACTCGATATATCTACGTGCAAAACCACGTAATGTATATCGAAAAAAACTTCATCAATTTTTCCAAATCCGCCTGATATTACTGTTTGCAGAAGGTGTGTACATGTTCACTATCTCTAAACAATTGTTTGTGAATTCTGTCAGAAATGACAAAAAATAATAATTCAAAACCATTATTACTGTGCGTGTGACATGATTGGTACTATATGTTATTTGTACTATTTGTTTTGAAAAATTGTGTTAGGCAAAGTGGTTGTTGGATTGTTTAGTAATGCTGTCCAAAAACTTAAGAAATAGATAGAACTAAGTTTACTCATGACAAGGTTGTAGTAACAGTCTACACGCGCATATATAACATCTGCTTCTGCAGCTGGCCTGGTGCAGTAACATCGTACAGCTGACCTGTAACGGTGTGACTAATGTCCAGGTTATCTGTAAATTGTATACCTTCCTTGACGTAATCTGTCTGTTATATAAAGTCGACCTTAAAGGGTTATTGGGCTGTCAACATTTAATGCCATCAAAGGTCAACATTATGTGAATATTTGCGATGTGACACAATAGGGCACATTTAGCGAGAAACAAATTATTTCTCTTAAAATCAAACCCCTACTTAGCAGGTTTCTTACAGCAATTCGTGACAATAAAACAAAACATGTCAACGACCGCATTTAGAAATGGCATACATCGAACCGTAAACTAGATTTGTTTCTTGGTGCCTACGTGGATTTATTTTGGTTTCTTCGTACATATACAAATTGATAAAGAAACGATATCACTAGCATCTACAATAAAGGCATGATGGAGGCAGGGCGACAGTTGGGACTTCAGTGGGTACATTAGGTACACTTCGTGGCACGTCCACGGGTGTTTTGACATAGGTTAAGTATCAGAGATATTGAGTTTAAGACTGTTTACTGATTGAGAGGACACAACAACTGTGACATATATACTCGTATCGCCTTGAAAAGTTTCTGAATGATGCAGCTGGATAGAGTTAACCGTTTTAAACATCCCATAATGAAAGCGTAGATTTGACCAAAACATGATTACTAATCTTGAATTCGTCCTTTTTTCAGTATTGACTTCAAACTGACTGTCAGTTCTATACGCACAAGATACCACGACTTGCCTTATAACGTGATCACGATAACGAACTCTGGGAGTCAGGAAAGTCCAAATTGTCTGCATTATTCAATAGAACTTGTATCTAAGTTTTCTTCTTATCTTCGCTTCCCTGCTGCGAGTGATTGATTTGCCCACTGGTTTTTATGTTCATTGTGGTAGTGGAAATAGTAATGCAGAAACTTTTGTGTGAAGTATTACGCAAGTGAAGCCAGACCAAAGCATGTCAGTGGGATTATTTGAAGGGTATCTTGCCTTATATAATGTTACAAAAGTTAAACCTTTGAGGATTTTGTTCGGCATTAAGCCAGGAATGAATATACTGTTTCCCGGATATCAGAAGATATATGACTCGTCCACGTCTGTAATAATATACATACCGGCGCTAACTCAGTGTAGCTTCCTGTCACACTGCTTACATTGTATGTACACTTTCGCCCAGAGAAATTAAACCTGAAACATAGGTACATGAAACATTATCTTCACGCTGCATGTAATGCTTTTTCTAGTCATTGCTCTTGCCTATTAGTTTTTGTTTGTTTGTTATTATTCCAGCTATCTATCGGCCTTGCCTCTTAGTAAAGCTGTAAACAAGTCTTTGCTTTTTTGAAAACGATGATGGTTGTGAATTTCTACTTTAAAGCTGTGCAACATTGATATATTATATATTTTGCAGTGACTATATAAAGGCACCTGTGTATGTTGTATGTGAGTGAGTGAGTCGGATAAAAGCTGTTTTAAATAGTATTTCAGTTATGTCCTGGCGTGTCAGTTTAATGAATGAGGAAAGCCCACTGTGATGCAGGTCTAACCGTTTTGGAAAATGGTTCTTGAATGCCTAACGGATCAGCTTCTACACAGCAAATTGTGAGCCCTTTTCTTGTATGTAATCGATACACATTTCGATATTTTAGCCATCTAATCTACTTCAAATATATTTCACAATCGATTATTAGCTCCCACTAACAATGTGTGTGAGGTGAAGTTACACACCCCGCCTACACATTTCTCCGACATACATTCCTGTAGCATGTACACATCGAGGGTGGATTTAGTCAGTGTAAGTGGAGTGTTATGGATTCTAGGATACATGTTTTTCAAAGATAACAGTTTTATCTTTCATATGCATTGCAACAAAAATGTCATACTCTTATGTAACGTCTACACCCTACAGTCAAAGGGTGAATCAGGAATAAGGGCAAACCGCCAATCAAGAATTGTTCTTGCTAACAGAAGCCGCGGGATGAAAGGAAGTATTACAGATATATATTAACGGAGATATGTTTACAAGAAAAACAAAGTGTTTTGATGCTGAAGGCAAATATAGTGTGTATTTAGCATGTGCTTATACGCGACAGTCTGGACATTCCTCTTTTGAAAATACTCATGCCAAGTGAATATTGCCACCATAGTAACAGGCGTATTACTTTTCAACTCATTATTTGTGAGGTTATATAAATCGACTGTAAAGCCAAGTCATGTTGTGATCATGATACTAAGGTTTATCAGCAATATGCATCTCCAATATGCATTGGCTCAATTCCTCAAGTTAAGTATAACATGTGTTTGAGAATTGTATTGACATTACTGCCTTGAACATTTGATTTTAAAAGGATACATCAAATTGTTTGGTGACATATAAATATAAAGTACTAAATGAAAATTATAATTTAGGGGTCATTATGCACGTATTAGTTCAAGTGTAGGTATCAACTAATTTCTCTAAATTATTTTTATATGAAAGCAAATGTCTGAAATACTTCACCTTTTCATTTTCCGCCCCGACCAGCCGTGCAGACCCTCCTCCATCATGACGTAACAGTTCCGCTTCAGAAATACACAGGACTTCAGAGCGTATCAGCAAATGATGGCAAAGTTAAGGCGTCCATTGACTGTCATACAGTACCTAGTGAAAACAGGATTGTCATATCTGCGTAGCTATTCTGAAAATAAACGTGGCAAATTGAGAGCAGTTGTTTAATAATGTCTTTGTTGCCAGCTTCTCGAGGTAGGTATGCGACAAGGTGGTTGTCTGACGCTATGACTGTTATCATCTACCTTCCTTGATGCCCTCGGTGCCCGGCGAGACCACTATGTCGCATCAACAACATCTCCCACAAATGTTTTCACCATCCCAAATTAGTTTCAGGGGTCAAAGTGCAACATAAAATGGCTTAATTACTGAGGGTCATTTAGGAAGTGAGACGTTGTATGGTTAACTTAATCATCTTCGTCGATGCGGATGATGGTATACGTTCAGTTATGTTGTGTTGCAGTCAATCATCACTCCTTCACAATGAACCCTCATTAAAACAAACCTTTGTTTAAAAACGAATCAGTTGAAAACATAATTTTGAGTGAACATTCCAGAGAGAAACACAAAAGAAAACATCTTATAACCATAGTCGAGAGTGTCATCGCCATACTCTTTATTCACAGGATTGTGTAAAATAGCGCTATTATTTCAGATTCATGATGGCTTAGTTTTGTTTCAAGTAGGGATCAAAGTGTCACTGTGTGAAGCTGTATCTTGGTGTCCCTACACGGGCACACTGTGTGAAGCCGTCTATTGATGTCCCCACACGGGCGCAGTGTTTGAAGTCGTGTCATGGTGTCCCCACATTGGCACAATGTGTGAAACCGACTATCAGTGTCCCCATAAGGGCTCAATGTGTGAAGCCGTGTCTTCTTGTCCCCACATGGGCACAATGTATAAAAGCCGAGTATTGATGTCCCCAAACGGGCACAATTTGCGAAGCCGTCTATCGGTGTCCCCACACGGGCACAATGTGTGGAGTCGTGTCATGGTGTCCCCACATGGGCACAATGTGTGAAGCCATCTATCGGTGTCCCAACACGGGCACAATGTCTGAAGTCGTGTCTTCTTGTCCCCACATGGGCACAATGTGTAAAAGCCGTCAATTGAAGTCCCCAAACGGGCACAATCTGTGAAGCCGTCTATCGGTGTCCCCACACAGGCACAATGTGTGAAACCATCTAACTGTGTCCCCACACTGACATAATGTGTGAATCCGACACTTGGCGTCCCCACACGGGCACAATGTGTGAAGCCGTCTATCGGTATCCCTACAGAGGCACAATGTGTGAAGCTGTCTATCGGTATCCCCACACGAGCACAATGTGTGAAGCCGACTCTTGGTGTCCCAACATGGGCACAATGTGTAAAGCTGACTATCGGTGTCCTCACACGGGCACAGTGTGTGAAGCCATTTCTTGGTGTCCCCACAAGGGCACAATGTGTGAAGCCAATTCTTTGTGTTTCCACATGGGCACAATGTGTGAAGTCGTCTATCGGTGTCCCCACACGGGAACAATGTGTGAAGCCATCTCACGGTGTCCCTACACTGACATAATGTGTGAATCCGACTCTTGGCGTCCCAACACGGGCACAATGTGTGAAGCCATGTCATGGTGTCCCCACAAGGGCACAATGTGTGAAGCCGTCTAACGGTGTCCCCTCACGGGTACAATGTGTGAAGCCGTCAATCGGTGTCCCAACACGAGCACAATGTCTGAAGACGACTATCAGTCTCCCAATACGGGCTCAATGTGTGAAGCTGTATCTTGGTGTCCCTACACGGGCACACTGTGTGAAGCCGTCTATTGGTGTCCCCACACGGGCGCAGTGTTTGAAGTCGTGTCATGGTGTCCCCACAAGGGCACAATGTCTGAAGCCGACTATCAGTGTCCCCATAAGGGCTCAATGTGTGAAGCCGCGTCTTGGTGTCCCAACATGGGCACATTGTGTGAAGCTGTCCATCGGTGTCCCCAAACGGGCGCAGTGTGTGAAGCCGTGTCTTCTTGTCCCCATATGGGCACAATGTGTAAAAGCCGTCTATTGATGTCCCCAAACGGGCACAATCTGTGAAGCCGTCTATCGGTGTCCCCACACGGGCACAATGTGTGGAGTCGTGTCATGGTGTCCCCACATGGGCACAATGTGTGAAGCCGTCTATCGGTGTCCCAACACGGGCACAATGTCTGAAGTCGTGTCTTCTTGTCCCCACATGGGCACAATGTGTAAAAGCCGTCAATTGAAGTCCCCAAACGGGCACTATATGTGAAGCCGTCTATCTGTGTCCCCACACAGGCACAATGTGTGAAGCAATCTAACAGTGTCCCCACACTGACATAATGTGTGAATCCGACTCTTGGCGTCCCCACACGGGCACAATGTCTGAAGTCGTGTCATGGTGTCCCCACAGGGGCACAATGTGTGAAGGCATCTATCAGTGACACCCACACGGGCACAATGTGTCAAGCCGTCCATCGGCGTCCCCACACAGGAACAATGTGTGCAGCCAACTCTTGCCGTCACCACACAGGCACAATGTGTGAAACCGTCTGTCATTGTCCCCACACAGGCACATTTTGAAAAGCCGTTTAAAGGTGTCCCCTCACGGGCACAATGTGTGAAGCCATCTATCGGTGTCCCAACACGGGCACAATGTTTGAAGCCTACTATCAGTCTCCCCATACAGGCTCAATGTGTGAAGCCGTGTCTTGGTGTCCCCAGACGGGCACAATGTGTGAAGCCGTCTATCGGTGTCCCCACACGGGCACAGTGTGTGAAGCTGTCTATCGGTGTCCCCACACAGGCACAGTGTGTGAAGCCGTGTCTTGTTGATCCAACACGGGCACAATGTGTGAAGCCGTCTATCGGTGTCCCCACACAGGCACAGTGTGTGAAGCCGTGTCTTGTTGATCCAACACGGGCACAATGTGTGAAGCCGTCTATCGGTGTCCCCACAGGGGCACAATGTGTGCAGCCGTCAATCGGTATCCCCATACGAGCACAATGTGTGAAGCCGTCTATCGGTGTCCTCACATGGGCGCAGTGTGTGAAGTCATTTCCTGGTGTCCCCACACGGGCACAATGTGTTACGTCCTCTATCGGTGTCCCCACACTGACATAATGTGTGAATCCGACTCTTGGTGTCTCCACACGGGCTCAATGTGTGAAGTCGTCTATCGGTGTCCCCGTACAGGCACCATGTGTGAAGCCTTCTAACGGTGTCCCCACACTGACATTATTTGTGAATCCGACTCTTGGCGTCCCCACAAGGGCACAATGTGTGAAGCCGTTTCATGGTGTCCCGTCACGGGCACAATGTGTGTAGCCGTGTCATGGTGTCCCGTCACGGGCACAATGTGTGAAGCCGTCTATTGGTGTCCCCAAACGGGCACAATGTGTGAAGCCGTCTATCGGTGTCCCCACACGTGCACAATGTGTGAAGCCGTCTATTGGTGTCCCCACACGGGCACAATGTGTGAAGCCATCTATTGGTGTCCCCACATGGGCACTATGTGTGAAGCCGTCTATCGGTGTCCCTACATGGGCACAATGTGTGAAGCCGTCTATCGTTGTCCCCACACGGGCACAATGTCTGAAGCCGACTATCAGTGTCCCCACACGGCTCAATGTGTTAAACTGTGTCTTGGTGTCCCCATATAGGCACAATGTCTGACGTTGTGTCATGGTGTCCCCACATAGGCACAATGTGTGAAGCCATCTATCGGTGTCCCCACATGGGCTCAATGTCTGAAGTTGTGTCATGGTGTCCCCACATAGGCACAATGTGTGAAGCCGTCTATCGTTGTCCCCACACGGGCACAATGTCTGAAGCCGACTATCAGTGTCCCCATACGGGCTCAATGTGTGAATCCATGTCATGGTGTCCCCACATGGGCACAATGTATGAAGCCGTCTATCGGTGTCCCCACACGGGCACAGTGTGTGAAGCCGTGTCTTGTTATCCCCACACGGGCATCTAACGGTGTCCCCACACTGATATGATGTGTGAATCAGACGCTTCGCGTCCCCACACGGGCACAATGTGTGAAGCCGTGTCATGGTGTCCCCACATGGGCACAATGTGTGAAGCCGTCTAACGGTGTCCCCTCATGGGCACAATGTATGAAGCCGTCTATTGGTGTCCCCAAACGGGCACAATGTGTGAATCCGTTTATCGGTGTCCCCACACGAGCACAATGTGTGAAGCCGTCTATCGTTATCCCCACATGGGTACAATGTGTGAAGCTGTCTGTCGGTGTCCCCAAACGTGCACAATGTGTGAAGCCGTGTCATGGTGTCCCCACATGGACACCATGTGTGAACCCGTCTATCGGTGTCCCCACACGGGCTCAATGTGTTAAACTGTCTCTTGGTGTCCCCATATGGGCACAATGTGTGAAGCCGTCTATCGGTGTCCCCACACTGGCACAGTGTGTGAAGCCGTCTATCGGTGTCCCCACATGGGCAAAATTTGTGAAACCGTGTCTTGGTGTCCCCACATGGGCACAATGTGTGAAGCCGTCTATCGGTGACCCCACTAGGGGCACAATGTCTGAAGCCGTCTATTGGTGTCCCCACACGGGCACAATGTGTGAAGCCGTCTATCGGTGACCCCACACGGGCACAATGTCTGAAGCCGTCTATTGGTGTCCCCACACGGGCACAATGTGTGAAGCCGTCTATCGGTGTCCCCACACGTGTACAATGTGTGAAGCCGTCTATCGGTGTCCCCACATGGGCACAATGTGTGAAGCCGACTATCGGTGTCCCCATACAGTTTCAATGTGTGAAGCCGTGTCTTGGTGTCCCCACACGGCAACAATGTGTGAAGCCGTCTATTGGTGTCCCCACACGGGCACAATGTGTGAAGCCGTCTATCGGTGTCCCCACACAGGCACAATAAGTGAAGCCGTCACTTTGCGTCCCAAGACGGTCACGAGTTCTTTTCTATTTGACAGTTGAAAACATTTTATAAAAAGGAAAACTTCCTTTTCAAGCGCACGTGTCCACATGTGGACTTTAAGGTATGCAACGTCGTTATTGATGGTGCAATAGTACGTTTGTCACATATATTGTTCTTTGAATCCCATATATTAAATCACATCGAACATGA